CCCCCCCCCCGCCGACCCCCTCCTCCCTGGGGGGTGCACATGAGAGCTGACTCCTAGCTTCCCCCTCCTCCGGGGCGGGGGCAAACGTGAGCTGACCCCCACGCTCCTCCTTCCCCCCTTTCAGAGCTGCGGCCGGCTTCGCGGGACAGACTCGGTGTTTGGAGCCCGGCCGCCCTCCCGTGGCCTGCCTGTCGCATGTTTGTGTCTGCCTCGTTCCTCCCCTGGTGCCTGTGTCTGCAGAAAACCAAGACCGGACGTAATTTCTTTTTAACACCAAGATGACGACCACCACACACACACACAATTGATGTTGGATGAAACAGGAGAACAAAACAAAGGAAAAAGCTGTACAAATCACTGGCATTTGTGGGGCTTCGAACCGACGGGCACCCCCCCCCATGCTCCATGTGTCTGTCCGCCCCTGGCCCCTCGGGGACCGGTGGGGCAGTGACCGCATCCACAGGGGCCGGGCTGAGGACCTGCGTGTGTTAGATCTGCATCCCCCCGCCGTGCATGGCTGCGGTCAGGAGTGCCGGCCACCTGGGGCCAGGGGGACCTGAGCACGGCTGTTCCCCTCCCTTCCTCTCATGCCCCCAGCATGGACGAGCAGTGCAGAGGCCGGGCCAGCCCCCGGGGCCCCGATGAGCCATCTGAGACGCCCCCGCGGGCCCAGGGCTCCCACTCCGGTCCCTCTAGGGCCGGGGAGGTGCAGACCTCACGCCTGGCGGGAGACTGACCAAGAGGACACTGTTGGCGGCAGCCCCATTGGGGAGGGGAACCCTTGGGCCGGCCTCCCTCCTGTTCGGGGTGCCTCCCCTTCTGCCCACCTCTCTCCTCGCCAGCTGGTGCGGCCACAGAGGGGCTCCGGGCTTGGTCAAGACACAGGAAGGGGAGGGGGTCAGAAAGCGGGTGAGTGGCACCCTGGGCTCCCGGTGGGCACGGCACGTGTTTGCGGACGGTGCTTTTGGAGTCTGGCCCAGAGCAGAGGGAGGGCCGGCTGCCCTGGGCCTGAAGGGCAGGGCGCGGCGGGCCCCCCACCCCCACCAGGCCTCTCCAGGCTGCAGTGTGGGACAGGGACCACGGGATGAGAAGAGAGGCTGGGCCCATCGCGAGGCACCCCCTGCGTGCTGGTGGGCACCGTGGTGAGGCTCGGGGATGGGCCCTGTGGTCAGATGGCAGCAGAGAGCGCCCAGGGTAGCTGGCCAGGTGGGGTGGTCGGGTTGTGATCGCAGAGGGTGCGGGACCCTGCCGCTCCAATACCTGCCCCTTAAATCACATTTGCAACAAGGATTTTCTTTATCTTCCCCCACAAATTAAGCCAAGGGAGGGGCACGGAGTGGGGAACGGGACACAGGATGCTGGTCTCCCAGGGGACTGTCCATCAGCAGACACTCAGAATGGACACTCACCTGCCCGTCCACGGCTGTGCTCAGGACAGCTGTCCCCACCCATGGACACAGGGTAAACATCCGCCAGGCTCCCTGGGCCGCGGGCAGCGGCAGGGCTCACCGGGGACAGCGTGTGGCCCGACCACCCTCACCTCCGGGGCCCTCCTCCCCTCCTCCCCTCACCTGTTATCTCCACGGAGCTGCCTGTCTGGGATAATTTGGGGATTTTTTCTGGGGGATAGTTCTTTTGCATGACCCCTCTCGAGCAGGCCACACCTGCTCGTCTAGCTAGATGTCGGAGGTGTGGCCACTCTGCGGAGGGCCGGCTGCCCACAGTGCTGGCCGGCCCCCCTTCTCTCTTTTTGCTGAGTTCCATTGTCTTTTCTTTCTGAGCCTTGTAAGTGTAAAAAATCATTATTTTGTTCTGTCTCGGGAAACTGCAAATAAAAGAAAAACAGGACAAACGGCTTCACGTGCAGCTGGGGGCTTCATGCCAGGGCCCCTCCGAGCCCCAGCCCCCAGCCCAGCCGCTCCCCCACGCGGCCCTGCCAGAACCCAGGTGCACCCTCGTATGAAGATGGGCAGCCTCCCCTTCACACTGGCTCCCCAGGCCCTGCCAATGCTTGTCTGTACCTCAGGCCTCGTGCTTTCCTGGGACAGAAATGTGGGCCTCAAAACAATCCGAGATATAAACACTCCCAACTTGTGTGTGCAAGTGACTTCTGGTAAGAAGGGCGCCCTGGGGGTCACTAAGACAGGAGCCCTTGACTGCGGCTTCTTGGTGCCCAGCGGGTGCTCTCAGGAGGGAGGGCCGTGCCAGGGAGTGCAGAGGATCCGAGAGCGGGGCGCAGAATCTAGGACACAGCCCTCAAGCGAGCGGCAGTGGGTCCCAGCACAGTATCTAGGGTTCCACTATCAGCTGTAATCCGAGGACACTTTCCAGGCCAGGCCTCCCCACGGATGCACAGCGCAGCCCCGCCCCACCCTGGACGCTCCTGAGCCCAGAGGTGTGGGGTGCGACCCGCAGCGGGCTCGGTGGGCAACTACGGAGCCGGGCCCGTGAGACAGCCTTCGGTTGGTCCCTGTTAAGTGGCACCCCGCTTTGAGCAAAAGACCCCATACTAAAAAGCTGGTGCTCTTGGTCCAGTCAGAAATCCCAAGGCTGCTTCTCATTTCCAGGGTCACAAGGCTGAAAGCAAGGCCCCGGGCCAGCAATGAAACAGGCAGAGAAGTCTTCAGGCCCTCTGATGATCAGCGAGCAAACTCATTCCCTAAACTGGGAGCAGACTGGAGACTCCTTGGCCTGCACGCACCCCAGGAGGCACGGATGCCCCCACACACCTGCAGGGCTGCCCCCCCCCACCCCAAGGAGTTTCCATCCACGTGGCTCAGGCTGCTGTGGGTGTGCGCTAGTTCCCCAGGCCGGTTCCCCTAGGTCGGCTCCAGGGCTCCCCTGGCTCCTGCTAGGAAGGCCGTTGGCGGGGGCGGGATCTAGGCAGCCACCACCTCCCCCGGACAGGCGCTCCCCGCAGGTGCACACACAGAGGGCAGGCTTCCCGAGGAAAGAGGCCCCTGAGACTTGAACAAAGCAGAGGACTATTTTGGAATTTCAAAAGACAACTTTATCCAGATAAGAATCTTTCAGATAGAACAGAGAAGTTAGGCAGCAGTTACTAAAATACACTCTTTGCCAAAGGCTTCCACGTGGGACCGCAGGAGCTGGGGAAACGCTGGTTTGGGCCTGAGCCAGCCCCCCACCCCCCCACGGCCCTCCCTGCAGCTCTGCCCCAGCGACCTCCAAAGTTGGAGTCAGACACCACGGTCCTTCCTAAGGGGAGGTCACAGCCCCCTGGGCACCAGTGAGCAGACTGGGCCTGCGCGTTCCAGGGGGTCCCTCGGGCAGGCTATTTTAGGGGTAGGCCAACTCCTTTGGCGAGCACAGTGCCCAGAGCAGGATAGCCGGTGGGTAAACCTGCTGGGGTGGGGCGTGGGGGTCCTCCAAAGCCACGTAGGTGCCACCTTCTGGTCCAAACAAGGGAATTCAGGGCCCGGCACTTCGTGTCAGGACAACGGGACCTCTTGGGTAGGGCAAGAACCAGCATGCTCAGGGAAGGACCCCAGAGGACGAGACCCTGTCTGACACAGCCCCAGCAGGGGCTTCTGAGGGGACCAGGTCCCAAGAGTGCATCACGGGCTCACATCCTCAGGAAGCGTTGCAAGACGAGGGAAGGCAGTCTGGACCATGGCAGTGGGGCCTGAGGGAGTGGGCAGGGCTCAGGGCTGGGGCTCGTGCTGCTGGGGGGGGGCGCTCTCAGCAGTGCTCCTGCGGAGATCAGGCCACACGTGGGGCACTGGGAGTCCTCGGGATGGCTGGCACCTGGTCTTGGTGGCCAGGAATGGTGGCCACGGCAAAGGCCACTTGCTAAGGCACGCAGGCCCCAGGTGGTCGCTAACACAGTCTTGTTGCCAGAGAGGCAGGTGAACACGGGCTGAGAGAGACAGTATCCGCTGCTGTGACCCGACGGGCAAAGCTAAGCTGCGAGACAGGGCCGATGTCCCCCACCCCACAGGCACCTGTGTCCTGTGGATGAGCCACGCCCTCGGCAAGCAGTCAGTCCAGCACAGGTGCATCTGTGTGCCTGGCTCGTCCCAGCGCGGGCCTTGGCCTGCTCACCCCCCGCGACTGCGCCCGCCGTAGGTCCATCCCCTGCTCTGCCCCCTCCGTCCTGCGATTGGGGCTCACCCTGGCTTTACTAGAGTGTTAATACGGTCAGCGCACAAACACCACCCCAAGGCAGACCGAGGACCAACAAGCCTGGCTCCGACCTCCCCGGGGGCCTCGCACAAGTCGCGGGCCCACAGGTTTCCCAGGGGTTAGAGACGAGCCCTTCAGCGTCTATGTGAGTCACTCAGAGTTTATGGTTTCATCTGGCCCAAGAATACACCTTTGGGGGCCTCAAACGAGCTTTTCAAAAATCACCGGACACGTAAGTTTGAATGCTCCCCAGCCCCGGGCCCTTCCACGACCCCTCAGTTCCTGCCAGGAGCTCCCAAGTGAAAATATGTCCCCACGTGGGTCTCTCCATGGCGGCTCTGCTTCTCCAGGGGCTGCGGGTCTGATGCCGATGTCCGGGCCATCTCGGCACAGGGGCCTCCGCGGGCTGCCATCACATGATGGTGCAGCACGAGTTCTGTTTCCGGGCCTGGACAGAAACACACCGGGGCTGGAGAGGCGGAGGCAGCCCCACGGCGGCACACCGGCCGGGGTGGGCGGTGGGGGCCGGGAGGCAGGGGCCATGGAGTGGGCTGGGGGGACGGAGAGCACCTGCAGGTGGACCGAGCGTCTGACTCTGCACCAGCCTGGGTCCCCCAGCGCCACCCGGCCCTGTGCGCAGGGGTCGTTCTGAGAATGTCCTCAGAGAACGGGTTCACAGGCACGCCCCCCGCCGAGCCCCATGGCCGTGTCCCTCCCAGGCTCACAGGAAAACACAGGTGCGTGCCCGGCCACTTCTGTCAAGGGGAACAGAAGTGGAAGGGCCGCTCTGGGAAGCCTGGAGGCCTCACCGCTCAGCGGGCAGCAGGAACATGCGAGGCCGGGGGCGCAGGGAGAGCAGCCGGAGCCGGGGGGGGAGGGTGGGGACAGGCCTCTGCCCACGTTGGCTCCCCCGGCGCCCGAGAGACCCTGCACTACTGCCAGGCCTGGGCCACCCCCTCTGCTCTCCCCACGCGCCACCGAACGTCCTAGGAACTCGTTGGTGGCGGGAGCCCGCGGGAGGGCTAGCACTCACTGTCTTATAGAAGGCTTTGGACTGTGTTCCCAGCACTTCAGACTTGGACACCAGGTCGTCTAGCCTTTCCCCTCGCTCCAGCAGGGACTCCATGGTGTTGTGCTGGACACAGAAACAAGCAGACGCTCCGTGTCCACGAAGCCAGCAGACACGAGCCCCTCCTGCGGTTCCGTCACGGGAGGCGCTTCTCCTGTGGGCTCCTCCCCCCACGTGAGCGTCGGGAGCGTCCCAGCCGAGCAGGACCCGGAGCCCGTCCCGGGCACCCCGAGCACAGGCTCCACACCACCACGCTCGCTGCCACGGTGGACACGTGGACTACCGCTGCCTGAAGGGCCCCGTGTTCCACCGCTGCACTTGGGGAGGGCCCGCGCGGACGGCCGTCGCCGGAGCACCTGCGAGCCCCTCCTGGGCTTCATCGGAGCAAGGAGCGCAAGCCTGGGCCCCTGGACGGGGACCGGCCCAGGAGGGGGAACGAGTCGCCTCTCTCTACACAGAGCTCACGACTCCGGCTGCCGGCGCGAGAAGTGAACGAGGCAAAGGGCCGCACGGGGAGGCGGCACGGCCGGCAAGCCCGTTTCTGCGGGCACTGGGGGCCACCGCCGCGCCGGCTGCCCGCGCTCCGGGAGAACACGCGGAGAAGCCCATGAAGAGAGACGGAGACACCTGAAGACCCTCACACCTCACTTCCGACCCACAGCCCCCAAACCACGTCATCCGCAGCGTGACGTCTGCAGCACCCCCCCGATGGTTTCCGCAGAACGCAGCTTCCTGGGTCCTGCCCAGGCCGGCGTCCAAGCCCCGCAGACGGCGCGGGGCGCGAAGGCCGAGCCAGAGCCCGCGGCGTTTTTCTGGGCACCGCTGCCACTCACTTAAGGCTCACCAGCTGCTGGGCACTGGTGTCCCGCGCCTGCCACCTACTGGGGGCGGGGTGGATAAGGACAAGCTCCCGGTCCCGAGGGCTCACACGCCCGCCGGGGAGACGCGTATACCGGTCGTGACCGTGCGGTGGCGTCGCGAGGCCGGCGCGTGGGGCACCTGCGTGAGCGCCAGGCAGCGTGCACTTGACCCCAGAGCTTTCCTGGGAGCTCCTGGGGGACAGTAAGCGGAAGAACCACAGATCGGTGGCTCCTGTCCGGACACAATGGCGGCAGGTGGGAAGCCAGGGACCAGTGACCAGGCAGAGGCCACGGGACCAAACTTGAGGAGAGAACAGACACAGCGAGTGCCAAAGAGAACTTGGAATCAGAAAGAGAGGAGGAGGAACACAGAGGGAGAGAGAGACGCTGAAGCAGCAGCTACAGACCAGCAGAGCGCGCTCAGGGAAGACGCGGGCTTCCTGCTCTCCTGACCGGGCCTGAGGACCCCCGGTCTGTGTTTAGTGAGCACGGGCGGCTTCTCCTGCCCCCCAGAGCCCACACCCTGCGAGAGAGGCACCTGCTGGGCTTGGAGACCAATGGCGGGGGGCGGGCAGCAGCGGCAGGGAAGCAAAGCCCAGAAGGGAGACCGTCACAGCGGGGAGGGATCAGGGCCACAGCAGGTCTCGGCTGGGGCTCTCATGCACCAGGGATATTGCACACAGACGGGTGCAGGCAGCGTAGACCCGGCGTCGCCTGGGCGGTCTGGCTTTGGGGCCTCAGACACTTGGGGAGAGGCAGGCAACCACCCCTTCCAGCGAAGCATTTGCATGAGGGCTCCCCCGACCCCAAGCCTGACTGTGCACCTGGCACCATCCCCCACCCCGCCACCCAGCTCCAGGATGCACTCACCCCCGCTCCCGCTTACCAGAATGATTTTGGTCTCATCCAGCTCAGCCTGCACTTTAGTCATGGGGTCAGCTTCTCGGGGGTTCTAGGGAAGAGCCCAAAACAACATCAGGAGTACAGTGAACCACCCGGAAACAAAGCTCAAACCAAGGGAGCCGGACAGGGTTTGCCAAGTTCACCAACCACAGGCTGCTCACACACACAGCAGAGAAGGGAAAGCCTGCCGTGGAGCTCGGGTTCCAGATCTCAGTGTGAGCCTGGAGTGTTTCAGCGGGACACCAACACCAAGGCTGCCAGGAAGTCGCCCAGAGCCATGACCCGCAGGGCCGCTCCTGGCGGCTCCTGTCCACCCTACCTGGTACCGACTCAGGTGGCCAGCTAGGGCCGTGTAGTTGATGCTAGCAGGGGATCCGACTGGCCACTCTATCCTGTCCACGTGCTTGGAGAATTCGTCTAGTACCTGCAGGACAGAGGAGCCCATCAGCACCTGCAGCCACGGAACCTGAACGGACAGCCTGAGAGAGGCTGTCAGGCTCCAGAAGGAGGAGCACAGCTCACAGCCAGGGGCAAATCTAGGCTCAAGTTTTTAAGATTTCTGACAAATAAAAATGAAGTGTACCCAACCTGACACGAATCTCATCTGGAGAAAAATAAAAGTATCAGAATTTTAAACTACCCGTTTCCACTTCTATCAGGTTTTACGATTCTAGGACAAAAGGTCCCTTCCCTCTCATTTTCCCAAACAGTTCTTCAAAAAGGGAGCTAGATCCTTTGGATTGAAGCAACCCACAGATCTCACGTGCTTGTGAAAGGATCAGTGCTCAGCGAGGCCAGAGGCCAGCATCCTCGAGAGGTTTCTGACGAGCACTGTGGCGCTCAGCCCCATGGCGGAGCTGGACCCACTTGGGGGAAAGGAGCGCCCGGGGTGCAGGGATGACCTGACCGAGGGGGGTGGCCACAGGGCCGAGCACAGAGTCGGCCGTGGCTCGCAGGAACCACAGTCACCCCCGGGGAAGGCAGAGGCAGGAAGAGTGGCCAGAGTGGTGGCCAAGGCCAGCCCGGCCACACTGCCAACTCACCTTCTCCAACAAGGTAAAGGCTACCCGGGATGGGTACTCGCTGTCAGCAATGACCACTCCCGCGAGACTGTCATTTCGCACGTAGACGTGGCACAGATATTCTAGGGAGAGGTTAGATACGCGCATGGTGACGTGAGGGCTTTGGACATCCTCACCGTGATTGTGAAAGTGTCACACTGCTGAGCCCCTGCCTGTCGCTCAGGGAGACTCACACAGAACAGCACAGGACGAAGCGCTGCAACCAGCAGGGCCCAACACCGGCTTCAGGCGAGTAAATGCCCAGAGGCCCGGTGCGCAAAGCCAGGCTCTAAAGGATCCACCAGGGGTGCAGAAAACCGCCCATGGGACACAGTCCCGACTGCATTTCCCAGTCACATCCTGGAGCCCCAGCTCCGGCTTGGCCATGTCTCCGAGAGCCACAACTCTCAGACGCTCTGTCCTGCTCCTGAGCTGGAGACCCCGGACAAGACGAGCAGCCTCCAACTGCTTAAAAATCCCTGTGAGGCGGCGCCTGGGTGGCTCAGTCATTAAGCGTCTGCCTTCAGCTCAGGTCATGGTCCCAGGGTCCTGGGATCGAGCCCCGCATCAGGCTCCCTGCTCGGCGGGAAGCCTGCTTCTCCCTCTCCCACTCCCCCTGCTTGTGTTCCCTCTCTTGTTGTGTCTCTCTGTCAAATAAATAAATAAATCTTAAAAATAAATAAACAGGGGCGCCTGGGTGGCTCAGTCGTCAAGCGTCTGCCTTCAGCTCAGGTCATGATCCCAGCGTCCTGGGATCGAGCCCCGCATCGGGCTCCCTGCTCAGCCGGAAGCCTGCTTCTCCCTCTCCCACTCCCCCTGCTTGTGTTCCCTCTCTTGCTGTCTCTCTCTGTGTCAAATAAATAAGTAAAATTTTATATAAAAAAAAAAAGTTCCTACAAGAGTGGCCCCATATAAGGCCTCTTGGAGCATCAGGTTTCCTGCTGTGGTGGGCTGGAGGGGTGAGGGAGAGGAGAGGGAAGAAGAGAAGAGAGAAGGTCCACCTACAGAAAAAATTCAGTCCTGCTGACCCTGCTCTCCGGTATTACTGTGCGAAAAGTCATCAAATTATCCAAAGGTTCAGTCTCTATAGGTCTTCTACAAAATAGTTCTCATTCCCTGGTATGAATTTTTGTCACTTTCAAAAGGCTTCAGACAGGATACGGCTAACCATACCCCCAGAGAAAAAGGAACGTAAGGACTACAGCTGACAAATGCGAAACTTCTCATCCCAACGACTCACGCTCATGCAGAACTGCCTGATGCTAACCGTGCAGGAACAAAGAGCAGAGAGAGAACGTGAGCTCCTGAAGTCAGACGAGGGCAGCGATAAATGAGAGCAGGGCCGGGGAGGTCAGGATCGCTGCTGACGCTCTGTGGGTTCTGTCTTTATGTCCCCAAGTAAGCAAGGTGCAAATGTGCTGTTGATGCGCATGCACTCCCCAGAACGGGAGAGGCTGGGTCAGTGCTGGAGGACACAGCTCTCGGCAATCGCCAGGGAGGCAGGCCCGGAGCGAGACTGACCACACACCACTGTTCACGGTCCAATCTCACCTCTGCGGTGTGGGCGGCACAGGGAGGCTGCGCAGGGCACACACAGGGGGACCCTCCCTCCCCCGGGTGTAACGGACATCTGCATCACCAACACACGGCCCCCGGGGCTGCGGCCCTAGTCTCTGCCCAGTGAGCTTCCCGCGATCTGTGTGACACAGCTGTCCTTCCTGAGTCGTCTGTGTCACACAGGCTTCCCAAAGAAGAGCCTCAAGACTCTTACAGGAAACCGGAATTATGAAAAAGTGAACGTAAGGACCAAGAAGAAAACGTAACGAGTTTTCGGATTCCTGGTCAAAAACCTAAGAAGCACAGGATGCGGTATTACCGCATCCGTTGGGAATCCTTGTTTGCGATGTGTCCAACGTGGGCGAAAAGAGAAGAATTCAGGAAGGCCACTTACTGCTCCACGAGAGATAGACCCCGATCTGAAGCAAGTCTAAGCTTTGGGGTAAAAACTGAATCAGGCAGCTCAGACTCCAACGGTGGGCACAGAATTGTGCATAAACAGAACAAAGAGGAGGGAAGAGAGAACCGGCCAGCAGAGGAGCGGGGTCCTGGCAGCCTCTGCGCGGGGCAGCGCCTCTGTGGGGAGCTCCGGGTTGCCCGAAGCGGGACGGCGCAGGCACGAGGCAGCAGGTCCTCTTACCTTGTTCTTTGACGGAAGCTCTGCTGCCTTTCGCGGAGCGCTCCACAATCAGCTGACTTGTGAAGGTCATGAATTCCTGAACGCTAAGAAACATAACACATGTTACCTCTTCCTGTCACCTTGTCCCCAGCATCACGGAAGGTGACCTCCGAGTGGAGACACCAAGGGGCTGTGGCTTCTGGGTCTCATTCCTTTCCCTCCCGACCTCAGTGACTAAGGAGAGACGCTGTTTTCTTACAAATCCTCACAGCCGTTCGAGCCACATCTATTTGCTACCTCGCTCATCGGGACAACTCACTTCCACCCTTGTGGGGATTTTCTACAGGCTTTAGTCAAGATAACGCTGCGGTCAGAGCACAGTTTGGGACACGGGGAGCAGCAGAAGCCAGCGTGTGCACAACCAGACACCGCCGCTGCGCAGGCCACACGCTGTGGGGTGACACACGTCTGCGGTGAATGCGGGCTACGGCATGCAACACGGCCTCGGGCGTGCTGGCTCATCCTGGCATCCCGTCCAGGGCACTCTGGAAGGCAAGCAGTCGGCCAAGGAGGAAGAGGAGGTGACTTGTACAAAGGCTGAGAGGGAAAAGGACACTCATGGGCCCAACAGAGAAATGGGCCAGAATGGAAGAGTCACAGGTGACAACGGCTCGGCTCACGAGACTCTCTGGCAGCCCCTCTGTGGAGTGAAGACCTCCGGCCATGGAGTGCACGTCCCCGGCTGGGAGCCGTGTGACCCCCAAGCCCGTTACTTCCTGTCCCATGCCAAACCCACAAAATCCAGGTTCGCTGTGAGGAGTGAATGGCACTTAGCACAATACCTGGTGCCCAGCATTCCTTCGAGAGAGTGATGTGATCAAAATCATCCCACCGAGGAAAAGTCTCCAAATAAGGAAGTCCTTGCAGTAAAACCAAGCAGAGACACAGCTCACAGCAGACGGTGTCCAGACACAGGGGGGACTTACATTCGTTGCACAAGTCTGCACACAGGGGCAAGAAAAGCTGGAGACCCACCTGAAGGTTTTACAGCTCAGGGTCTGGTAGCCACGAGGCAGGAAGAATGGAGGTGAGAGGCCTGGACGACATGCTGCTTTAAGAGGTGCTAGTGGGGGCGAGCCCAGAGTACTGAGTGTGTCAACCATCACGAACTGGCAGGGGTATCCCAAAGCAGTGAGGCAAAGGTCCCACACTGAAACCCCTGAGCACCTTCGGTATACATGGGCAGCGAAGAAGAAAAACAGCCAAGTTGGCACCAAACGTTCCATCACAGAAACGCAACGACACAGAACGCAGAGCAGAGGCCGTGGTAGAAAAAACTAAGCGTCAAGAAGATACTTCCCAAAGGCCCCAGAAGAAGCTAAACGTTTCCACGAAACAACAACAGGAACTGTTTTCGATCCTGCCAGCAGAACACTCTGATCAAGAACAACAACTGCCCAGAAGCAGTGAGGACAGAGCCAGATGGCAGCGTCCACTGGACTCGGAGCCCGGAGGGTCCTTCTCTGTCGGGGCCTGAGTCATCCCACCCCTCCCACCAATGGGCTGAAGCGTCTGCAGCATTCCTCACACACACCTCCTTGCAATTAAGGTGTCCAGAAATACTTAAGACGCTTGTAAGCCCTACACGTCCCATGCTTCCTTCCAAATCTTCAGCACACACCCTCTTGCACCATCAGAGCTTAATCAGAAAAAACAAAATTTGGGTTTGACTCCTGGCTGGTTGTGGTATAATTTCTCGCGACCTCATGACTTCATCCATAAAACGGAGCGTAACAATACCTCTCCTACTGAACTGCTAGAAAAACCCCATCAGATAACATAAACTGGCTCTCCAGGTGTGGCCCCTAAGCCGCCCGGGTTAGAATCACTGGGAGAAAGGCGTCGGTTTAAAATACACATTCCTGGGCCTCCACCTACTAGTTCACCGCGTCTGAGCGTGAACCTGGGAAATCTGTACTTATTCACAGTCTCCTTGCGACTCTATTACGACGAGAATTTGGAAAACGCTGAGCACAAAACCAATGTTCTAGTATACAGCATAAGCCTTTCTCCAACGAAAGGAGGAGGATTCCTCGCAGGTCCAGTCCACACACCGAGCAACAGGCCATTTCAGGGCTCCATGCGGGAGGGAGAGCCCCCTGCCCACCCAACCCCG